TGACCGAAGGAGAGAGAAAGACAGTCGACATCTCATCCAGGCTGTAACATAACTTCTGGGCTGCTGCTTCTGTTCGGAGATCAACTCCGCGAGTCTGGCGTAGAAACATCTTGCACTTGGTCCCATCCCACCAGAGGTTGTGAACACTAGAGGAGTGAAGCTGCCTTGATCAACGTTTTGAATTCTCTCCCCATATGCCCTTCTCTTGTCGTTCTCGTTCCTCCTATGTGCAGCATCGAGAGCTAGGTTACGGTGACAAGCTGCCATGGGATAAAAAATCCTGATGTCGAAGAAAGCTCCCTGTCCCCGCGTCCAGAATCCTCGAGCACTGACGTCCACACGGGCTTCGTTAGATGTGTTTGAAGTCCTGTGTTGGAAGATCTCGCCATCCAATGGAAGGAGGGTCGGTTCTACCGTGACGTCCCGGCAGATTTCCTTCAACATATTTGCTGTGAGATCCCTTACCTCGTCATGCCTCATGCATATGAAGCCCCCCTTCTTGCACACCATGGCGTGATCGCCATCATAGGAAGAGCCACACACGCATTGGGAGGGCAAACCATCTACTGGTCAACCGTACCTTAGAGCAATGGCATCTGTAAATTCTTGTTTGTTAAGGCTGAAACCATTTGCCCTTATCGGTAACGTAGTTAACCAGTTCGAGGCGCCCACCTCCTGCGCTATAGCTACTGTTTTTGTAAAAATTTTCTGGAACCTGCAGCAATAGTTGCTGCAACATGTCATTTTGGCAGTGCTGTCGATCTGTCGTAATGGACCTACGAATCTTATTTACTTCGCTGGTATCCACTTCCCCTGTTGCATTCTGGGCTATTATGTGGTCCGTGAGGGCTGCCGTGAGCTTAAGTGAATTTTGATGTTCAGTGTCAGCAATCTCCTCTGGATTAGTTAGTCCCATCCCTCTCAGTCTTGGTGGAAGTGCAAGAAGTGTTCTTTCTGCTGGGGTTAAGTCAGGGTGTTTCACTAGTTTGGGAATGAACTTGACACTGATAGCTTTTTCCAGAGGGTGGAGGAGGGGTCCGATCTCAGGGATGGTATGCATCAGGTAGTTCCAGCGATGCTTGGCTCCATGGGTGAATGCTGCAAAAGCCGCATGTGGCTCTGTGTTAGCAATCTCAAACAGAGCTTGGATTTCGCTAACCCACTCATTCACCTTTCCCGCTACGTACTCGGTCTTGAAGTCCGTAGTGCCAATTACTGCGCCTAGATGTCTTTGGCCGTCCTTAGTTATTTTGACCTCACTTCCGCCAAAAACCTCCAATGCCCGTTCATAATGTTCTGGCTTCACGATGAGGAAGGACTTGCTGGCGTTTGGGTGGTACCCTATTTGTGGACCTCGCGATGTTACCAGGTCCCACCACTTTTTGATGCACTCCACTTTTCCTGCTCCTGCTACTACTTTTCTTTTAAACATGGCCTCCAACCTTCCCCAATAGCCACACCGTCAGCACCTAGCTTAGTTAGTTAAGCCCCATGTCTATGCGGCATTCAGTGACTGTTGCTTCATAGTCAATATCTGCGACCGTTATCGGCTTTGGGGGCCGAAGATCTCGTTCCCTTAATAGTGGGGCAGCTAAATGCAATTTTTCAAGAGAATCATGCAAATGGTGATACAAACACTAAATTTTGCATGGTAATTTTCTAATGGTTACTAGTCAAGTCTGCCTGATTGGCCATTTTAATATCCAAGATGGCCGCCATATTGACCTTCAAAAGTTTATTTTTCTTAGAGAAATTGATGTAGTTGGTCAATCTGAGTGATCTTGGTGTCGATATGCATGTTTTGAAGCATGCTCAGATGATTTTTAATAGTTTTAAGTCCATTGGAACATTTTTATCCACATAAAATAACACTTTTAGGAAAAAATATAACAAAAAAGAACTTACTAAAAAAATAACGTACTCACTATTAGCACTGGTTCCCTTGACTTCTCCTGACAGTATATCTTTGTGCATTTACTGCTGTTCACATATGCAGCTGCAAAGTGCTATGCAGGAAAGTCCAAAGCGAAACCATTTGCATCTCTGGTTGCAGTCTTTCTTACAGGAACATTTGGTCAGCTCCTGACAGCATGTTACAATCGGAGGAAGAGTCGTCCAACGTATCTGCCATGCCTTTCCCTTCTGCGTCCATCCCAAGTTGACAGGACTGCTGGTTTCTGGATTGGAAATTGTTGCCTGGCCCCAGATGATATCAGCCTGGTATGCAGCCCGCTTTGCATGTTCCTTGGGGGCTGCCTGGGTTGGTGGAATGGAGTCATATGGTCTCTGTTTGCGGGAAAAGAGATTTAGTCTTGCCTCATCTACACCAGTGGCTGCACTAGATCTGTCGTACATGAGGACAACAAATCTTTCCAGCTTCTGCAGGTCAACATCAGCAACTGTTGTTGGACATTGGCTGAGTTTGGTGAATGTTTCTGAAACTTCATCACAGACATTCCATGTCTGCCATGCAGATTTCTTTCCTTTCCCACGGAAGCCAGACACAACGTCACAGCCAGTAAAAGCATGAAATTATAGGATGCCACTCGCTTTCTTAGGCCCTATCGCAGAAACTACAACATGAACTGGAACATCGATGACTGGCTCCTTGGCCAAAGGCAATCCACATGTTATCAAGACCAAGCTCCTGTAGTGATGGCAGTACAGATACTGCTATGACGACCACGTCAGTGTCATTGGCTTTGATGATGAGGAACTTGCTACCTTCCATTGCTGCATCCCTAGCATGCATAAATATTCGTGTGCCTGCTTCCTTATGACAGCATGGAGCCACAGCTTCTAGGGACTTCTCTGTGTTGCTAATGGCATCTTCTCCCTTTGTCACAACCACCGTGCTGGTCCTTCATTCGAGTAGCATGAACATCGGGCGATCCAACACCCAGCTGCTCAAGTCTCTGTCTGTAGAGTGTGACCAGGTCAGCAAGTCTGAAAATGGGTGGTTTAGTACCTTCACTAGAAGCTTTCATCTGAGTGATGTAAGTGACCAGTTCAGAGAAAGCAGTTGGGTATGCGTCCTTGTTCGGATGAAGCTCTTGTGCCTCTTCTTGCTCATGAGCATTTCGGTGTGTTCTTTCTCGGTTGTACAGGTCTGCCAGGCAGCGAGGGTGATACTTCAGTTCTTGTTCCACAACATCTCCTGCACTTAGTCTGGCAAGGAGTTTTCCATCGCTAAGTGTCTTCGCACAATCATTCAATCTTTTATTAAGTTTCATTGTCATTGCATGTCTTATGTCATCTCCCGAAGCTTCTTCCTCACATAGAATTCATTCTGTTGCTTTGGGGTCTCTGACCATTTGTGGTATCTTGCTGCTGCTGCTCTCCTCTGTAGGAACTGCAGAGGTTCGCCTTCTCTGAGCTCTATTTAACTTTGTGTTGTTGAACAGAAGTCTGCAACTCTCATGATACTGTGCCTTGTTTCTCCTCAAGGTCTCCTCTATCCCATCATCTTCAACAAGGCTTGCAGGGTCAAGCTTGATTGGCAGTGCATTGATTGAATGAAATAGAGGAATATTCCTTGCCAAGCTCTTATAACCGTCATCTCCTTTTTTGGCAGGATTTGCGTGTGGAGATTTAAGATCTTCCGTCTTATCCTGTTGACAAAGACAACACTTTGCCCAGTCAGTGAGGAATGATTTGTTGGTAGATTTTGTGTCCATAACTGTTTTGATCTTCAGGGCCGAGGGTCTATCCTTTTACCACCCTGATGAGCACTTTCTTGTATGGGATACAACAGGGTTCATGCCTTTTGCCTTACACCAAGTCCGATCGTTCATCCAGTGTCATTAGTCCCGTGCGATCTGTACACCATCCAGATAACTAAAACCCCGTTATCCTTGGCATGGCTCTCCCGCGCTGACACATCCTGTCAATTCAGGTGCTGCTGCTTAACTGATTTGGGGTTGGTTAATCAGCATTTGGGACACTAAGCTGTTGCAGTATGACATGCTTTTTCTTAGCTGACACTGAACCCCATGCTGGGTTGCACAGCAGTGATGTCACCAGTGTTCCCTGGTCGTGCCCGACAATCACTCCCTCACATGCAGAGACCCTCTGCATGCTACCCTCACCTAGATGGAAAAAACATAAAACCAGTACATAAAACCAGTCATAAATAAGATAAATATATATCTGAGAGTATCAGAAATAGAAAAAAATAATATGAGCATGCTTGAAAACATACATATCGACACTAAGGTCATTTAGATTGACCAATTACATCAATTTCTTAAAAGAAAACCATCTTTCGAAGGTCAATTTGGCAGCCATCTTGAAAAATAGCCGCCATCTTGGAATTTTCAAATAGCCAATCAGGCAGATTTGACAAGTAGCCCTAGGGTATGATCAAGCCAAATTTCATGCTTGTATTCTATGTTTGTCTTTGATACCCCCAAAATGTTCTACACTACTGAGGGTATACACAAACACTTGTTATCTTGAAAATAGGTTCTTATTCTCGTACGGGAGATATACAGAGGGAACAAATAGACAGTCGGCTTCCACACCATAAGGACTAGCGATCTCAACTCTCTGTATCACTCCGCGCTGGCATGTACAGATGCCAGTATTCACAAGCTGAATACATAAAATGTAGATATGATAATTCACATACATAACATGGTGCATAATAAATGGAAATATTACATAGGATTAATACATGTTCTGTAATACTTTACTGTACATATTTAATAGAGTAATATACGAATACACAGCTTAAGGTACTACTTCGTGTCCATATTATACACGTATCACCATTTGCACGATTTTTCCATTATCCGCTCTACTATAAGGCAAGGCAATGCAGACCTAAGCAGAGAGATTGCCGCCGTCGCTGCCGCCGCCGTTACCGTCGCCATGACCACCACCACCACCACTCTCTTTCTCTGTCTTACACTTTCCCACTCCTCTCTCTCTCTCTCTCTCTCTCTCTCTCTCTCTCTCCTCCACCCTCTTTCTTTCTCACATTGTTCGTGCCCTCACAGAGTCAGCTGGACTTCAAGATACGTAACCCTGATGGAGGCATATACCAAAACTGTCTCATCATAAGAGAACTTGGATTGTTGGACACAGACTGCAACAAACAGAGTTGCTCCGCCTGTCACACTACAGCGGGTAGTACCTGGACCTTGAGGAGCATCTGTGAGGAGGAAAAGGTGAGGACTGATGGTTGGGAGGTATCTGTGAGGAGTAAAATGCAAGGGCTGACGGCTGGATGGCATGAGTGTGAGAGAAGAAAAATTATTAACGCCTGTATCTCTTACAACTATGTCATGGGTCTTAGTCCTGGCCAGAGACACACGTGGGAACGGTGTTTTCCACTTTCTCCTTTACCAACACTGGACAGGACAACCCCCGAACAGCTAGTGGTGATATAATGATAAAAAAGGAAACTCAGCGAGTATGTACAATATGTATGCTGTTATTGATTATGTATTGCCACTATGTATAGGTATGTATTATGTATAGTTATACACAGTATTATGTATAGTTATGTATTATATAAGATGACTTAACCACTTGAGTATGATTATTTAACCTCTTGAGTAAGATAAATTAACCCCTTGAGTACAATGACCCTGTCCTCCGGGGACAAATAATTGTACTAAATAATTTAAGCTATTATACTTAAAGGGTTAATGTTAAAAGCAGAATACTCAAAGGGTAAAGCTAAATCAGCATATAGATAACGGATTAAGCCGTCATACTCAAAGTGTTAACCCACATATTTAAAGGATTAAGACATACTCAATGGGTAGACCATCATACTGAAGGGGTTAAACCATCATACTCAAAGGGTTAAACCACATAATTAAAGGATTAAAACATATTCTAAGGGTTAATATATTGTACTCGTTGGATTAAATCATTAAAACATCATACTCAAAGGGTTAAACCACATGTTTAAGGGATTAAAATATACTCAAAGGGTTAATGTATTTTACTCACTGGATTAAGTCGCTAGGATATCATACTCAAAGGGTTAAACCATCATACTGAAAGGTTAAGCCATCATGCTCTATGGTTTAAATAATTATACTCAAAGGTTTAAACCATCATACTTAAGGGTTCTAATACCACACAGCGCATGTACTACTTCGACCTGGTGGCCTTCCCACTCTACTTCCGAGGTTATGGTGAATACATGGTGGAGAAGGTGGGCGACGTTTGGACCTGGTATGATAGCATTACTAACATCACCAAGGCTGTCTTACCTGTACAGGAACACCTTAATTACCCCATCGGTAGACAGACCTGGGACATCAAGGTGAGTTTACTTCTGTTGGTAGATTGTGATGGAATTTTATAGTGACGTCAAATGTGTTCTAGGATAATTCGTTACTAGTTCAGTATTTACCTAACCTAACCTAACCTAACCTAATTCACCTTTCCCCTTTTAACAAACAGTGTTTTGACAAGAATCAATCAAAAAGACATACAGTACATTCATGCAAGAGTTAATACACCATACTTTTTTTTATACTATAATACCAAAGAGATGACTTGACAGACATACGTACTTCCAGGATCCAGTATGTGGACAAGAATCAGGAAAGAGGCAACTCACACTCTCACCCTGTACAGCTGGAGAATTTACCTGTACTGACGGCACCTGTATATCATTCGCTAGACGCTGTGATCTGAAATTTGACTGTGGTGACAAGACGGATGAAAGCTTCTGTGATATTGTCAACTTTCCAGGGGACTACAGGTCTAAACTGCCTCCTAGACCAGGTAAAATGTATAAAGGTTTATTGTGATTTAATCTTGTTTATTTTGTTTTATTGTTTCATGTTTAAGTTGTTTTACGAAAGATGTGTTTGAATGTAAAGATAAATTTTGTCCTGTCTGTACAGGGTATGTCTGTCTGTCTGTCTGTCTCTTATTCTTTTCTTTCCCTATGTCTATCTCTCTCTTTTCTTTTCCTCGTAGTGTTGGATCTGCCTGTCTGTCTCTCCAAACATTTTTTCTCTTCACAGTATCGAATTTCTGTCTGTGTCTGTCTAGCTGTCTGTCTCTTTCTCTGCTAACATCACTTCCTCCCTCACAGTATCGGATCTATCGCTGCCAATATCTGTCAACGTCTCCATGGACACTATCAATATTGACACCACCACCATGTTGATCTCTGTCAGCTACAACCTGCGTATGACCTGGTTCGACAATAGGCTGACCTACAACAACCTTAAGGCTCTCACTAGGCTCAATACAGGTGAGATTGCAACCTTTGCTTGACCTGGTAACTAAAACCTTTATCTGACCTGGTAAACCTACGCCACTATAGGCAGAAGTGGGTTAGATTAGATTATGTTAGTTTAGGTTAGGTCAGATCTGGTTAGAAACATTCACGGTGATTTAGAAATATCTCAAAATCATTCATAATGCTCTGCAATACTTCAAAAGCATACATAATACTTCTCAATGCTTCACAAAATCTAAAAATAAAAAATAAGTTCATAATGCTCCATAATGCCTGTGAACATTTATCATGCTCCTTAATTCCTAAAAAAAAAAATATATTGCTAAAAAATACCCCAAAACATTCATAATGATCCACAATTCTTCAAAACACATTCATACGGATCCACAACGCCCCCCAAAATTATCCACAATGCTCCACAATTTCTCAAAACATTAATAATGCTCCACAACGTAGCAAAACACATTTACAATGCTTCAGGAACATTGACGACGCCGTGGTCATCTTTACAGTGTCGCTGGATCAGGTCGAGCAACTGTGGCGACCGAACGTGGGGTTCATCAACACAGACGACATCCAACACACGGTCGTGGATCAGGGCGCTGTCACTACCATCATCAGAGAACACCCGCACTTTGTCCGTGACCTGTCCAACCCATATGAAGGTCTGTAGTCTCTCTATCTCTCTCTCTCTGAGTGTATGTTTGGGTGCATGTGTTTGTGTGTGTGTGTGTAAGTGCGTCTATGTGGGTGGGTAGGTGGGATGTAATAATAATAATAATAATATTATTATTATTATTATTATTATTGTTACTATTATTATGATTATTATTATTATTATTATTATTGTTATTATTATTATTATTATTATTATTATTATTATTATTATTATTATTATTTAGAAAATAATAACAATAATAATAATAATAATACAAATTTTCATAAAAACAAACGGTTTATTGAAAAGCACAACAGTCAAAGGATGAAAATACTCATTTATTATGGACAAAATTGACTTACAGTGATATGATATTGAGGAATACATTGTCTAACAAAAGTTTTCAGTACACAACATAGACTAGCATAGCATAGCATAGCATAAAAGAGCATAACATAACATAACATAGCATAACAGAGCATAGCATAACATAGTTTTTAGAGTATTTAATCATCAGATGAAATATACTTGGGGTGGGGCTCATCTCATCTTACAGTGGAAGTCTACCGAGGGGACACCAACCCTGTATCAACCACGAGAAAGTACAGCACTGTATTTACCTGTAATTTCGACTTGGTACTCTACCCATTTGACATCCAAACCTGTTCAATGCAGCTACAGATCCAGTCTGCTTCCTCTGAGTATCTAATATTCAACTCAAATGGTGAGTATTTCGCCCTATTCATCTATTATGGTGAGTATTTCGTCTTATTTAACTTTTATGGTGAATATTTCGTCTTATTCAACTGTTATGGTGAGTATTTTATCTTAGTCAACTATTATGGTGAATATTTCGTCTTATTCAACTGTTATGGTGAGTAATTCGTCCTATTCATCTATTATGGTGAGTATTTCGTCTTATTCAACTGTTATGGTGAGTAATTCGTCTTATTCAACTATTATGGTGAATATTTCGTCTTATTCAACTGTTATGGTGAGTATTTCGTCTTATTCATCTATTATGGTGAGTATTTCGTCTTATTCAACTGTTATGGTGAGTATTTCGTCTTATTTAACTTTTATGGTGAATATTTCGTCTTATTCAACTGTTATGGTGAGTAATTCGTCTTATTCAACTATTATGGTGAATATTTCGTCTTATTCAACTGTTATGGTGAGTATTTCGTCCTATTCATCTATTATGGTGAGTATTTCGTCTTATTCAACTATTATGGTGAGTATTTCGTCATATTCAACTGTTATTGTGAATATTTCGTCTTATTCAACTGTTATGGTGAGTATTTCGTCTTATTCAACTGATATGGTGAATATATCGTCTTATTCAACTGTTATGGTGAATATTTCTTCATATTCAACTGTTATGGTGAGTAATTCGTCTTATTCAACTGTTATGGTGAGTAATTCGTCTTATTCAACTGTTATGGTGAGTAATTCGTCTTATTCAACTGTTATAATGAGGCATTTCGTCTTATTCAACTGTTATGGTGAGTATTTTATCTTATTCAACTATTATGGTCTTATTCAACTGATGGTATTTCGTCTTATTCAACTGTTATGGTGAATATTTCGTCATATTCAACTCTAATGGTGAACATTATCTAATTCAACTGTTATGATGAGTATTTCGTCTTATTCAACTGTTATGGTGAGTAATTCGTCTTATTCAACTGTTATGGTGAGTATTTTATCTTATTCAACTATTATGGTGAGTATTTCGTCTTATTCAACTGTTATGTGTGTCTTATTCAATATATGGTTATTTCGTCTTATTCAACTGTTATGGTGAGTATTTCGTCTTATTCAACTGTTATGGTGAATATTTCGTCTTATTCAACTGTAATGGAGAATATGTCGTCTTATTCAACTTTGATAGTGAGTATTTTATCTTATTCAACTGTTATGGTGAGTATTTCGTCTTATTCAACTGCTATAGTGAATATTTCGTCTTATTCAACTGTTATTGTGAATATTTCGTCTTATTCAACTGCTATGGTGAATATTTCGTCTTATTCAACTGTAATGGTGAATATGTCGTCTTATTCAACTTTGATAGTGAGTATTTTATCTTATTCAACTGTTATGATGAGTATTTCGTCTTATTCAACTGTTATGGTGAGCATTTCGTCTTATTCAACTGTTATGATGTGTATTTCCTTGTATTCATCGAACGTAAGTGAAAATTTTATCATGTTAGGTAGCTTCAAATATATCAGCTGTCAGTGTAAATGATCTATGATATCAGTAAAGTAGACGTTATATGTAATCTTAGTAGTTGTCAGATGTCAGGAAAGGATATCAGATGTTAATGTTAGAGATGTCATTTGTCAACATTGAAACGTAAGCACAAAAGAAGTCAAATAGAAGGCCTCAGAACAAAAGAAAATCATTTTATTTTAGAGACATCAGTTGTCAGCTTAGAAGACGTCAACACAAAAGGAAGTCAGGTATTTTAGAGACATCAGTTGTCAGCATAGAACACGTCAGCACAAAAGGAAGTCAGGTATTTTAGAGACATCAGTTGTCAGCATAGAAGAAGTCAACACAAAAGGAAGTCAGGTATTTTAGAGATGTCAGTTGTCAGCATAGAAAGATACCAACACAGGTATTTAAGAAACGTCAGTTATCAGCAAAGAAGCACACCAATACAAATGGAATTCAGGACTCATCTCTGTACTCTACCCACAGATTCTTACAATATCTGGGTCAGAAGTTCCTGATTGAGTACGGAATTGGACTCATAGACCTCCAGGTGGACAACGCAATGCAGTATAGCGAGATGAAATAGAGATTCCTATTGAAAATTCGACAAGTTAGAGACATCAGTTGTCAGCTTAGAAGACGTCAACACAAAAGGAAGTCAGGTATTTTAGAGACATCAGTTGTCAGCATAGAACACGTCAGCACAAAAGGAAGTCAGGTATTTTAGAGACATCAGTTGTCAGCATAGAAGAAGTCAACACAAAAGGAAGTCAGGTATTTTAGAGATGTCAGTTGTCAGCATAGAAAGATACCAACACAGGTATTTAAGAAACGTCAGTTATCAGCAAAGAAGCACACCAATACAAATGGAATTCAGGACTCATCTCTGTACTCTACCCACAGATTCTTACGCCCAATATCTGGGTCAGAAGTTCCTGATTGAGTACGGAATTGGACTCATAGACCTCCAGGTGGACAACGCAATGCAGTATAGCGAGATGAAAGTCCGTATTGAGTTGATTCGACGCTATGGCTATGCTATGCTAAACATCTACATTCCATCCCTTACCCTTCTCATTATTAGCTATGTAACGCTCTTCTTCCGGCCAACTATATTTGAGGTGCAATGCTCTTTCGTTTTGTTGTGATATAATGTTGTTATTTGAATTTATTGTTGTGTGTTTTAGAAGATATAATTTGCGATGCTGTTTTGTTTCATTGCTAGACAGTATTAACCGTATTCTTGCTCCCCATGTTCTAAATAGCGATGGTTTGCGATATTCTTTTGTTTAAATGTAATGTTGCTTTACTTCATAGTGTCTGTGTTTCAAGGTGCTATGCTTTACGATGCTTTTTTGTGTCATTGCTACACAATATTAACCTTATTCATAGTCCCATCTTTCAGATAGCCATGGTTTGCGATGTAGTGTGACTTATTTCTTTGTTTATCTGCCTTGCTTCTCTCCCTTCATATTCCCCTCTTTCATATTTTGTGATTCAGACATACAGAGACAGGCAGAAATACTTAAACAGAGACAGACAGAAATACGTAAATTAGAGACAGGCAGATTGACAGACCATTAAAAAGATCAAGATAGAAACAAAAGGAGACAGGCAAGCAGATAAACAGAAAGAGACAGACAAATAAAAAGAGAGAGAGAGAGAGAGAGAGAGAGAGAGAGAGCTAGAAGCATAGTGTTGAACATCCAGGAAGCAGTGGTTTGCATGCATGAGAGGATACCACAACTTTAAGTGATTCTGGAAAAGAACATACTAGTGCAGGGTATAACTTAACCTTTGTGGGTCGATACACACCATAAAAGACCACAACAACACCCTATCCACTACAAAAGATTGATAAAATGAAAGTTATTGATGAGAACACTGTATACAAAGTTATATTACTTTCTGCTGTCACCTGTGCAACATGTAAATACCTGCAACATTGCAATAAGGAATCATTTGGAGATACATTCACTTTGGCATCCTATTTTATGTTACTTCTGGATAAATAACTTCTTTAAACCATCTTGATATGTGTGTGTGTAAATAGTCATCATTTTTTTCGTAATTCATGTTGTCTTTAACTTGTTTTTAATTCGTGTTGCCTTTGTTTATAATTCGTGTTGTCATTGTTTTTAATTCATGTTGTCTTTAACTTGTTTTTAATTCTTGCTGTATTTCTTTATAATTCGTTTTGCCTTTGTTTATAATTCGTGTTGTCGTTGTCTTTAATTCATATTGTGTTTGTTTTTAATTCATGTTATCTGTATCTTCTTTTATTGATGATGTGTCTTATTCGTGTTGACCTTAACTATTTTCGTTATTCATGCTGTCCTCTCTGTGTTCTCTCTGTGTATTCTCTGTGTTCTCTCAATGTACTATCTGTGTACTCTCTAGGTTTTATCTGTGTACTCTCTGTGTTCTGTCTGTGTTTTCTCTGAGTACTCTTTGGGTTCTGTTTATGTGCTCTCTGTGTACCGTCAGTGTTCGCTCTGTGTTCTCTCCGTGTTCTATCTGTGATTTCTCTGAGTACTCTCTGTTTTGTGTGTGTACTCTCTATGCACTCTCTGTGTTCTCTGTGTTTTCTCTGTGTTTTCTGTGTTTTCTCTATGTACTATCTGTGCTCTCTCTGTGTTCTATCTGTGTTCTCTGTGTTCTCTCTGTGTTCTATGTGTTCTTTCTGTGCACTCTCTGAGCATTCTGTGTTCTCTCTGCATACTCTGTGTACTCATTGTGTACTCTGTGCTACTAACCAGTGTTCTTCTTCAGGTGAGAGTAATGACTGCACTCACTGCCCTCCTGGTGTTAGCTACCCTCTTCACGCAAGTCTCAACTTCTTTACCCAAAACCTCCTACTTCAAGATGGTGGACATTTGGCTCCTCTTCTGCATCGTTCTCATATTTTTCATCATCATCTTCCACACTATCATTGATTTCCATGTTGATTATAGTAACACAGGAGCGCCTCTCTCCTCCAAGGGATGGGTTGGCACGTCTCAAAGAAGCTCCGGTTCAAATATCGTGAAGGTAACTCCTGTAGGTGGTAATACTAAAAGTGGCGATGAAGATATGAATAACTTGTCAATTAATTTCCTGAAGGTGAGGTTTGATGCGAAGTTTTATATTAATTTGTCAAAGCTTACCATGTTTCTGGTGTTCTTTGTGTTTAATATTACGTATTGGGGGACACTGGCGGTGGGTTCTGGTCTGGTTTATTACTACTGAAGGTGGCGGTAGTGGTTTTATTTTACTCCTGACATACTACTACTACTACTACTTCTACTACATTTTTTTTTAAACATATCCTCCATCCTCCCCTTATAGCCACACCTTCGCCGCCATTTTATTACCTTAAAATTAAATATCCTAATACATAAGTAGCTATCCAAGCTGTGTTGAGTTATTATTATTATTATTATTAATATTATTATTATTATTATTATTATTATTATTATTATTATTATTATTATTATTATATTACCTCAGCACTACTACCAATACTCTTACTACATCTACTACTACTACTGCCACTACTGACAAAGGTGGCCCACCTGTGAGGTACAGTAGAGACAACTCAATGTATACTAAACCTACAGTAAACAGAGGCAACAAGGCTGACACTGTACTCGACCACCTTCACTTCCTCAACAGGAAAGTTAAGAGTGCCCTGAGATAGTTATATTTGACAGGCACTTTAAAATTATAATAGCTTTACACATTAGAAACCAAACAACACCTTTAGACCACCAAGCAACGCCTTTAGAAACCAAACAATACCTTTAGAAACCAAACAACGCTTTTAGAAACCAAACAACACCTTAAGATACCAAACAACGTCTTTAGAAGCCAAACAACGTCTTTAGAAACCAAACACCGCTTTTAGAAACCAAACAACACCTTAAGATACCAAACAACGTCTTTAGAAACCAAACAACGCTTTTAGAAACCACACAACACCTTAAGATACCAAACAATGTCTTTAGAAGCCAAACAACGTCTTTAGAAACCAAACAACGCACTTAGAAACCAAACAACGCCTTTAGAAACCAAA